AAATTGTAAATCATCAGGAAAAAAGCATTTTATATTTCGTTTAAAGAGGAGAATTTTAAGTTTCTGTGCACAGTTTGTATCAGGTTTTTGATGTAAAGCAGGGTTGCTGTGTTCTTGCAATGACGAGTTTCAGTAAGAACTGATAATATATTTTTTGAATATTATATTTCCATTTATTTTTAAAAGAGCATTCATAAATGATTTTTGTAACAGCAAATCATTTCCAACTTCATGCAGGCGACTTTTAACATCACTGAACATCAGTAAGACACCAGGACTAAACCAGGAATAAACCAGGACTAAAGCAGGACTAAACCCAGATTAAACCAGGACTAAAGCAGGACTAAGACAGGACTAAACCAGGACTAAACCCGGACTAAACCAGGACTAAAGCAGGACTAAACCAGGATTAAACCAGGACTAAAGCAGGACTAAGCAAGGACTAAACCCGGACTAAACCCGAACGAAACCAGGACGAAACCCGGACTAAACCAGGACTAAACCAGGTTTAAACCAGGACTAAGCCCGGACTAAACCAGGACTAAACCGGGACTAAACCAGGTCTAAACCAGGACTAAACCAGGTTTAAACCAGGACTAAACCGGGACTAAACTGGAACTAAACCAGGACTAAACTGGAACTAAACCAGTTTTAAAGCAGGACAATTTTTTTTTTATGTTACTTTTTTTATGTATTTTTGAGCAATAAAAATACTTAAATAAATGCAAGATAGATAGATGTTTAATGCCGTACTGTGGAACATTCCTGGCAATCATCAGATGGACCTTTAAATCACAACAACAGCGTGTCCCAAGTTTGTTTACAATCACATCTGCAGCTGTTAAAGTGGCGTCAGCATCAGCCCGTCTTTCACATGTGGGCATTAGATCAGGCCCAGGTCTGCCAGCGCTCCACACGTACGGCGGTCCCCAGGCGAGCCCAGGCCTCGGGTCCCTCGCGCCCTGTCCATTGTCCCCCCGCCGGGGCCCCTCCCCTCACAAACGCCCAGAGTGTGAAGAAATGGGCAGGGGCCAGGGACCGGGCACATACAGGAAGAAGAGACAATATGAGCGTGCGTGTGGACATGTGCCTCTGGACATCACCACACACGGCACGGACACTGGATTATCTTTAGGATTTTAATGAAGAGAGATTACGTAAAACCTCGAGAACCTTGATTTAAAGGGACAAAATTACACAGTTTTCTGATCTATGTTATAATGGGCTGCAAAATGATTGAATAAACTACTACTTCTCATCATAAACAGACCTGGAGTTGTATTTTGTTTCATTCATACATGTTTAACTCACAAACCTGCAGATTTAGGCTACGTGGCGTCACATCTTCACTTTTTATTCTGCATTTAGACAAGCTTTTTTAGGAGGAAATCTGCGTACATACAGTGACGCAAAAGTGTGTGGAATTTGATTGTGTATGTTTGTACTTAAAGCAACAAGGGCGTCTTGGAACATACAGAAGTTTTCACACTACGCATTTTCATCAGTTACTCCTTCCACAAACTTGTCCCACCATCGACTGGTTCTCCAGGTCTCGTCTATATTCGCCCGACTCCCCTGTGACGACCTGGTGCATCCAGAATTTGACAGAGATTATTGCAGATCTTTCTCTGTTCACTAACAGTATCTCTGCAGATTCTCTACATTTGTTGGGAGCCTCCTGTAAGTTTATTAGAGCTGAAAGAGCAGCTTGAAGGTCCAGTGCATGGAAATGATCCGACATGTTTGTTTCTGTTACTGTATGAATGTGACGTAAACGTGACCTGAGCAGATCTAACCAGAGTTTTGCGTTTTGGGCAGTGTAGATGGAAACGCTACGGCGGAGTGTATTCAACTTTTCCACTCTGGAGGGTGGTTTCAGGTTTTTGAGTTTTTAAACCACAAAACTCCAAGTATTTTGACCTTTGAAGATATGGACAGACTAATAATAAAGGGTTATAGACCTTGATCACAATGGCCAGAAATGCAGCGATGTAGGGTAAATGTCACTTCTCCTTGGTGGTTTTCTGTGGCGAAATATCTGAAGAAATGTCTTGCGTATTTTCACCCACCTTCATAAATCTGCCCCATCACCAAATCTTCATCCAACAAGGTCCACAAAGGATAAACATTCTAGACAACATGAAGAATTTATCCACAACTATCAAGGTAAGAAAGATGAAAACATCAAGGAGAACGACGACGCATTAGTGAATTACTGAACAAAACTAACATTATGATCATGAATAAAACAGAAGTAACTTTGTTCACTCAGACAGAATTAATTCTAGAATTAACTGAGCGAATTTACGAAGCTTTTGGAAAATATGAGAGACATTTTTAATTTAATTTGATATTGAAAACTGACTGTGACTCGAGGCAGATGTAACGGTGGAGCTGGAGTGTTAAAAAACGTCCCGGTTGGTATTGAGACGTCGGCTGCAGAAGTTCAGTCAGTCCAGTTGTTTTGATTGACTTGGTGATAAAATCTTCCTGGACATTTCGACATTTTCTTCCGTTGACTTTCTCCTTACGTAACACCGTGGGCCTGGCTCGTGTGAGGAGCTTTACAGTTTGTTCTGGAAATATCAGATCTTGACGTGAGGCGTGCGACGATAAACAGGAAACAGCTGCTGCAGAAGACGGACGTTTAACGATGCCACCGCAAACTGCTCTTCAGGAACGTCTCCAGAACGAAAATACTGTAAAATACTGTGAGATATCTGTGTGTGTGTGTGGACGTGGGAGGGCATCAGGTGTATTCGGTGCGAGTAACAGAAGCACTCGTTCATCAAACACTCGTCCGTGCTGTAAGAGTCTCTCGTTTTTGTCCCGGTGGAAGTGGACAGTGTGTTTGTGTTTCCATTTCCCTGTTTGGTCCCACAGGGTTTGGAATAAACAACAACAGCCCAGAGCATCTCCACAGGAACCACTCCTCTTCCTCCTCTTCTCTTCTCTCTGTCTTTTCCTCATCCTCCTCTTCCTCCTCCAAAATCTCCTCTCTCACTCACTACTCTGCGTCCTTCTCTCCACCTCTCTCCTCTTCTCCCTGCTCCTCCTTTCTCCTCTATCCTCCCTCTCCTCTTCTCTATCCTTCTTCTCCTCTTCTCGCTTCTTCTTGTCGCCTCCTCTCTCCTCTTCCCTCCTTGTCCTCTTCTCTCTCCTTTCCCTCTCCTCCTCTCTTCTCCCTCTCTATCTCCTCTCCTTTGCCTTCTCTCCTCTGTCTCTCCTCCTCTTCTCTCTTTCCTGTCCCGCTCTTGTCTCCTTCTCCTCTTCTCCTCTCCTTCTTTCCCCTCTCCTCCTCTCTCCTCTTTTCCCTCTCGTCTCCTTCTCCTCTTCCCTCTCTCCTCCTTCTCCTCTTCTTTCTCCTCTCCTCCTCTCTCCTTTCCCTCTCCCCCTCTCTTCTCCTCTCCCTCCTCTCCTTTACCTTCTCTCCTCCTCCTCTCATCCTCTTTTTCTGCTCCCTCCTCCCTTTCTCTCTCCTCTTCCTCCTCCACCACCTCCTCTCTCACGCCTCCCCTTCCTCCTTCTCTCCTCCTCTCTCTTTGCTGTCTCCCTCTCATCTCCTCCTCCTCTTCTCTCTCCTCCTCTCCTTTACCTTCTCTCCTCCTCCCTCTCTTCTCCCTCCTCCTATTCTCTTTCCTTCTTCTCTATCCCCCTTCTCTTCTTTCTCTTCTCCTCCTCTCTTCTCCTCATCCTCCTCTCCTCTTCCTCTCCTTTTCCTGTCCCCCTCTCGTCTCCTCCTCCTCTTCTCTCTCCTCTCCCCCTCTCTCCTCCTCTCCTTTGCTTTCTGTCTTCCTCGCATCCTGCTTTCCTGCTCCCTCCTCCTCTTCTCTCTCCTTCTCTTCTCTCCTCCCTTCTCCTCTATCCTCCTTCTCCTCTTCTCTCTCCTTCTTTTTTCTTCCTCTCTCCTCTCCTCCCTTCTACTCTTCTCTCTCCTCTTCCTCCTCCACCTCCTCCTCTCTCACACCTCCCCTTCCTCCTTTTCTCCTCCTCTCTCTTTGCTGTCTCCCTCTCATCTCCTCCTCCTCTTCTCTCTCCTCTCCCCCTCTCTCCTCCTCTCCTTTGCTTTCTGTCTTCGTTGCATCCTCCTTTCCTGCTCCCTCCTCCTCTTCTCTCTCCTTCTCTTCTCTCCTCCCTTCTCCTCTATCCTTCTTCTCCTCTTCTCTCTCCTTCTTTTTTCTTCCTCTCTCCTCTCCTCCCTTCTACTCTTCTCTCTCCTCTTCCTCCTTCTCTCCTCCTCTCTCTTTGCTGTCTCCCTCTCATCTCCTCCTCCTCTTCTCTCTCCTTCTCCTCTTCTCTCCCCTCTCCCCCTCTCCTTTACCTTCTCTCCTCCTCCCTCTCTTCTCTTCTCCCTCCTCCTATTCTCTTTCCTTTTTCTCTATCCCCCTTCTCTTCTTTCTCTTCTCCTCCTCTCCTTTACCTTCTCTCCTCCTCCTCTTCTCTTCCTCTCTTTTTCCTGTCCCCCTCTCGTCTCCTCCTCTTCTTTTCTCTCCGTCTCTCTCCTCTTCCTCCTCCCTTCTTCTCTTTCCTGCTCGACCTCTGTCACCTGTCACACCTGCCCTGCTCTACCCATGTCACCTGTCATGCCCTGTCACCTGTCACACCTGTCCTGCTCTACCCATGTCACCTGTCATGCCCTGTCACCTGTCACCTGTCACCTGTCACACCTGTCCTGCTCTACCCATGTCACCTGTCATGCCCTGTCACCTGTCACACCTGTCCTGCTCTACCCATGTCACCTGTCATGCCCTGTCACCTGTCACCTGTCCCTGTCATGTGTCTGTCACCTGTCATGTGCCCCTGTCATGCTTACCCTTTCACCAATTATGCTTATCCTGCTGGGCCCCTGTCCTGATTCCCCTGTCATGGCCCTGTCACGCCTGCCCTGTCACCTGTCATGTTTAGCCCCTCCCCGCCTGCCCTTTAGCCCCGCCCCCTCGAGTCCTCTGGGTCCAAGCTGTAATCAGCTCTGCTCTGGCTCTGGACTTTTCAAAGGCTCCAGTCCTTCTCATCTCACTGACCAGACCAGACCCAGATCTAAACCAGGACTAGACCAGGACCAGACCAGGGACCAGACCAGGGACCAGACCAGGACCAGACCAGAGACCGGACTCAAGACCTACTTTCAGAGGAGTCATGCTGTTCAAGTTTGCAGTGGAGAAAGCCAGAAAGCACCCGGGCGTAAGTACAATATTTATACATTTTTATATATTTTTTAAAAATTGCAAGAATAATTACTGAACTTTTCATTTGCAAAATGTTAGAATTTGTGGTTAAAATCAATGTTTTAACAAAAAATTTCAGAGTTCTCGTTTAGATTTTAATGTGGAATGTTATTTGAAATTGCAAAAAATATGAAAACTGAAAATAAAAACACTGAAAAGTCAACAATTTGGTAAAAATTTGGTCAATGCAAAACTATGAATCCCGATTTAATGTACATTTGTTTTGATTTATATGACTTCAATAAGGTTGGCTTTAAGATTTTATACATATATTTAAAAAAATATATAATCTGAATTCAAGGTTTTGTGCAATTAGAAAAATAGAATAGAAGACACGCAAACATTCACTGTCTTATTTTTTTGTTTTCAAATTTTAAAAATAGAAGTACTAAATAATCTGTAGCATTGTTTTCTTTTCTTTCTTCTTCTTCTTTTACACAATTTTCTTAACCCACGAGAACAGGGTGTCAAACTCAAATTCACAGAGGCCAAAATTAAAAACTGGGATTAAGTCATTGGCCAAACTAAAGATTTATTGGAAAATTTCAACAACATCTGCAAGTTTTCTCTTCTTTCAAGATATGTAAGTTCTTATTCAAATAAATGTTTAATAATAGTTTTGCTTAAAAATTTAATCTAGAACAAGCATAATATGTACACATATATATATATATATATATATATATATATATATATATATATATATATAAACATTTAAAATAAATGTCTCTATACAGATTTGATTTTACACGATCATGATTTTACATGATCAAATATAATTATATCGCGGCCCAAATTTGGTCCCCGGGCCTGAGTTTGACATGTCTGCACTAGATGGTAAAACTGAGCTTGAAAGAGGAAAAATAAAACATATATTAAATTATGGAACTGACGTATATAAAACAAATAAAAATAATACTTCTAAAGCTCAGAGATAAGAGCAACTCAGACCTGCTCGTTGCTACGGTGACTACACTCATCTAATTGTCTTCCCTGACAATAATGCACAATATGTCACTTTTTACAGATTAAATAATGAAAGCATCTGCGCGTCCATCTGCCTCATTAAAAGTTTTATATTTTAACTTTTATTTTTTTATTTCACTGTTTTACTTTAGTGAATATTCTCTGACTGTGACAAAAAGAAGAACATGGACTAAAGATAAACGCCTGAGATAATCTGAGTGCAGTCCAACTAGAGTCCAGGTCCTAGTCCGGTTCTTGTTCAGTCCAAGACCAGTCCAAGTTCAGACCTAGTCCAGTTTAAGACCAGTCTAGTCCAAGTCCAGTCCTAGTCCAGTCCAAGTTTAGACTTAGCCCAGTCTAAAACCAGTCTAGTCCAAGTCCAGTTCAAGTCCAGACCTAGTTCAATCCAAGTCCAGTCCAGGTCCAATTCTTGTCCAATTCTAGTTCAGTCCAAGTTCAGACCTAGTCCAGTCCAAATTCAGTCCAAGTCTTGACCTAGTCCAGTTCTAGTTCAGTCCAAGTCCAGTCCAAGTTCAGACCTAGTCTAGTTTAAGACCAGGCCTGTCCAAGTCCAGATTTAGCCCAGATCTAGTTCAGTCCAAGTCCAGTCCAGGTCCAGTTCTAGTCCAGTCCAAGTTTAGTCCAAGTCCAGTCCAAGTCCAGACCAAGTCCAGTCTAAAACCAGTCCAATCCAAGTTCATTCCTAGTCCAGTCCAAATTCAGACCTAGTCCAGTCCAAGGCCAAGTTTAGTCTTAGTGCAATCCAAGTCCAAATTTAGTCCAGTCCTAGTCCAGACCAAATTCGGTTCTAGTCCAGTTCCAGTCCAGACCTAGTCAGTCTAAGGCCAGTCGAAGTTTGGTCCTACTCCAGGCTAAGTCCAGTTTTAGTCTGGTTTTAGTTTAATCCTAGTCCAGTTCTAGTCCAGTCCTGGTCCAGTCCTGGTCCAGTCCTGGTCCAGTCGTTGTCCAGTTCTAGTCCAGTTCTAGTCCAGTCCTGGTCCAGTCCTTGTCCAGTTCTAGTCCAGTCCTGGTCCAGTCCTGGTCCAGTCCTGGTCCAAATCCAGCCAAACCATTTTTCAGTTAATTTTATTTATTTGCAGTGTCGCTTTGGGCATCAGAATCATTTCCCCTTCAGGACCCCAGATTATAACCGGTCCAACTAAAACCTGCACCAAGGCCAAGACCCCGGACTAAACCAGGACTGTGGAAATCTCTGTTAATCAGAACTAAACTAGGCCTAAATAAAATCTATTGTGAGACTAAACCAGAACTAAACCAGAACTAAAACAGGTAAACGTGTAGTCAGGGTTAAACCAGGATTACACCGGGAGAATTTTGGACTATAAGGGACTACAGGAGGACTAAACCAGGACTAAAAACAAGATTAAAATGTGAGACCAGACATAGACCAGGACTAAATCTGGACTATACCTGCACTAGACCAAACCAGGACTAAACCAGGATTAATAAACCAGGACTAAACTGACTAAACTAAGACTAAACAATATCTCAACCAGGACTAAACAAAGACTAAACCATGGTCTGTCAAATGCTTGTCTCCATGGAGATGTTGCTGCTTTGTGTGGAGACCAAACCAGACCAAGTTACAGGTCAGATCTGTGGAGAGGCGACCCCGCTCAGAGTCCGAACACCTGTTTTTTATTGTTATTTTTGAGCTATAAAACCACCTATGGTCTTTAATTCCGATTAAATTTATTATATTCTGAATAAAAATGTATTCCAATTTAAAACGAACATGTAAACACTTAATTCCTAATGATTATTCAGAATTAACCTTATTCGGAATTAAACTTAAATCCGAATTAAGTGGGTGGTTTATTCCGAATTAATTTATTTGGTGATTATGTAAACGTTTAGTCCGCTTAAAAAAATCATTTCGGTCGACGTAAATACGATCGTGTCTCTGTCCAATCAGAACCCTTCCCCACTGGCAGACGTTGAGCAGAATTAAATAAAGTTGATTTAACGTGTTTTCCATGTAAACCTTAATTCCGAATTATTATTTCCATGTAAACTAGAAGTAGAACAATTTAATTTGGAATAATTAAATCGGAATTCAAAAACATCATGTAAACGTGGCAAATGTAAAGTAGAGATATTTAAAGTTGCACTGAGGAACATTCCAGGCAGAGCTATGACGTATCCATAGAAACAAGCAGATGACATAGTGCACCTTTAAACACATCTTATATAAGTTTAAACCATATTTTTAGAGCGTTACAGGCAAAGCAAAAACATCTCCCCCAAACAAAAAAAAACTATGCAGTGCATCTTTAAAATAAATAATTAAAAAGCTCAATTCTTTATCATATTTCTGACCTGGCATTCACAGCATAATGACGAAACTCTCTTCTGTCTCATCTGCATATACAAAACTCCTTGCTGGGTCTTATTACTGTGAGGGATGATGAAATACGGAGTTATTTAATTCGATTGTTTCACCCAAAATGATGCAACTCCTGAATAACTTTTAAAGTTTTAGACCTGGTTTAGAAAGTGCAGCTACGGGTCTGGAGGTGACGTTAACAGAGCAAATCATTAAAAATATTGGACGCTTTATGGGGAAAAAAATGGCAAAATTAAGAAAATGGCCACTAGAGGGAGTGTCTGTACATACGATTACAACTAAAGGCCAATGTAATGCAGTTATTACTCAACCATGTTAAATTTAGTATAGTGCTTTTCTATGCCAAGTTTTTATTAAGATTTTACTTTTAATATTTTACAGTACACTTACTTGAGTAAAAGTTTTGACTACTTCTCTCACTGTGAGAAAGTCTAAAGTGACAAAATTTTTATGTCGACAATATGAAATGATTTTGCCATGACATTTGTGCTATCACTCTTTCAAAATTGACTTAAATACCCAATTTTGAGGATTCTTTAAAGAGGCACTGTGTAAAATTTAATTGACAGCTCTTTGCTAGGCACCCACCCCCCGCCAAACCACCAGTACGAGCAGGAAGCAAGTCGTTTATATTCAACAACCTTGCTCCTGATTCGCCTGATTGCTGTGATGCTCGGATTTCCAAATACAGATCCAAATTAGCTGCTGTAACGGCAAACTTCAACCAGCTTTATTTGACTGGAGCTAAACGCTATAGGTGACGTTACACTCCCTTAATCTACTTTTTCATACAGTCTATGGGTGCTTTCATATTGACAGCAGTTGGTTCACATCAGACATTCAATTGGAACTAAAAGCTCTTAGTTTGGTTTGTTTTCGTTGGTGTGAAAGCATCAGTCGCACTTGGATCTGTGCTAAATCAAGTGGACCGAGACAGAGAAAAAGAGGTGGTCTCGATCCGCTTGACTCTGCACCAAATGCCAAACTCTGGTGCAGTTTCTCTGGTGAGAGCACGAACTCGGGTCCAAACCAGAGACAGTAGGTCCAACCTAACTAGTCGAAATGCATGATGAGAGGATACTAATTAATTTATTTCCTGTTTGTGGTGAGTGAAGAGGACATGGGCCTAACCTCGGACCGTGGCCCGACGTGGTCCAAGTAATGGCAGAGCGATCAAAGGAACCAGAACTGATTTAATGAGCCATTCGCAGTTTCCCTGAACTGGCTGTGTGGATTTAGACTTGCATGGCTTAATCTTTGAGACAAGCTACTGGCAGGATCGACCAGGTTGCCCTGTGCCTGCACCAGGCCAGATTGCATGGGACCGGACACCTGCCTCATGGCTGGCGGTCCGTAGGTTTGCACGTCTGAGCTCTCCAGGGGGAAAGTGTGGGGAAGTGGTCGAACCCGCTGTGCGCAGGAGCCTATAGTCAATCGGACCAATTTTGGTTGGTTTGCAGGTGTGAAAGGAACACACTGGAGTCTATATGATACAGAAGAACTATTTTATTGCCTGCTGCGGACCATATAATCGAACTAGAGGTGTGAAAGCGATCTGTGAGTCCACCTCTATATACAGTCTATGGTGCTGAATAATGAGTTACTGTTACTACTTACACATTGTAGTCTTCGTTTTTTTTTACATAATTATTTGTCTTCAAGTAATTTAAATCCTTTATTTTAATATCCTTCATGTGTCTGTCTTCAGCTGGTGCCGCAGGTCTTGTTCATCTGTTTGGGGATGGGCGGAGCTTTCGTCTACCTGCTCCGATTGGCCAAGGGACCCCATGTGACGTAAGAACACGCCCACCAACACTATAAACACATGCAATAGACATTTTATAAACTCTATTCAGGCTTACCGGAAGACATTTGGAAACATGCAGATGATGACTTCTGGTGCAGTTACTGACACTGGGCATGTGATGAAACCGTGGATTCAACAGCAGCGCCTTCATAAATTATAATACACAAATTAATAAGCAATTTATATAAGGAAAAAAGAAAGAATACAATGACATCTATATGAAGAAAACCGGGTTACTCTCACAAACAGAACCCAAAGGAAGTCGTTATGTTTCCAAATTCTTCCAGTTTTGTGGTGTAAGCGTGAACAGAGTCCATAGTCCATTATTATCCTAAAGAGTGATATAGTTAAAGATAATCTGGTGCTAGAGAGTGAGCAGTGGCGGAGTTTTGGAGGCCCTAAGGTGAATTTGAGATTGAGGCTCTCACTATAATGCACTGTTTATAATGCACTCTTATTAGTTTGGTCACCTACTAGATAACCAGACCTGAAAGTACTTTTATTGCTAGTACTTTTATGTGCTAGTACAATTACATTTTTGTTTACATCCATTACATATGATTATGATTATGCTATGCTTATGTTCAAATCAGGGTCAAGATTACTCGTCCATCCTAACATGAAAGGGGGAACGCATTGACAGTTAAAATAGATTTGACAATCAGATACTATTTTGATGGTGTTTTCTTGTTTAAAAGTAAAACTGCTCTCATTTAATGTCGTACAGAGAAAAAATCTAATTGCTCCATTAGTGTCACTGACGGCAAATTGGTTGGGGGCCCCTCCAGGTTCCGGGGCCCTAGGTGGCTGCCTACTGTTGCCTAATGGTAGCACCGCCTCTGCTAGTGAGAAGAAGAGGAGATGATGAGGCTTTAACTTCTTGGGTTATTTTTTAAAGGCAATGCAGTAAAGTGTGTTTAGCTTGTTGACATGTTTCGGCTGCTGCTGCCGTCCTCAGAACTGTCCCCGGTGTTGGTGGTGATTTGTCGAGTATCAGCTGTTGTTACTTTCACGTCACCACCAACACCAGTGACACTTCTGAAGATGGTTTGCAGCCAGCAGCAGTCCAACTTCAGACCAAGTCCAATCTAAGACCAGTCCAAGTTCAAGTCTAGTGCAATTCAAGTCCTGACTTAGTTCAGTCCTGTTTTAGTCTAGCTCTAGTCCAGACCTATAAATTCCCAGTTCATTTCTAGTCCAGTCCTGGTCCAAGTCCAGACAAACAATTTATCTGTTCATTTTATTTATTTGCTGTGTCAGCTTTTGGCATCAGAATCATTTCCCCTTCAGGACCCCAGATTATATCCGGTCCAACTAAGATCTGCACCAAGGCCAAGATCTGGGTCTAAACCAGAACTGTGGAAATCTCTATTAATCAGAACTAAACCAGGACTAAATGAAATCTATTGTGAGACTAAACCAGAACTAAACCAGGACTAAACCAGAACTAAACCGGGACTAAACCAGAACTAAACCAGGACTAAATGAAATCTGTTCTGAGACGAAACCAGAAATAAACCAGTACTAAACCAGGACTAAACCAGGACTGAGTGAAATCTATTGTGCGACTAAACCAGTACTAAACCAGTACAAAACCAGGACTAAACCAGAACTAAACCAGGTAAACGTGTGAACCATAACTGAATAAATTAATCTTATTTAAGTTTAAAGCCATATTGTGGAACATTATGGGTAAAGCAATAGCATCTCCACGGTGATGGTCCCTTGATCTAAAAATCCGCAGATACGCAGTGCATCTTTAAAGGTGTATTGTGTCACTTTTCTGGTCTGTCAAATGCTTGTCTCTGTGGAGATGTTATTGCTTTGTCTGGAACGTTACACAGTATGACATTAAACCTTTCTGCTTCACGGAGACCAAACCAGACCAAGTTACAGGTCGGATCTGCGGAGCGGCGACTGAGATTGAGATGTGACTGACTGAAACGCAGAATTAGGAGGTTGTGAATGTTAGTACAAATTGCTTGTGTGTTGTAAAGGCGTCAGTGCACCACAGATTGGGAAAAAGCGTCTTAAATGAACCCCGGGTGGTTGGACATCTGGTGCAGAAGTTTCAGTTCTGATTGAAATGATGTGGCTGACAGAGCACAGGATGGACCCCCTATGTTACGCTCAGCTACCGCGGTTTAATTAACAAGCTGGATCTGAAGATGTAGTTAAAAGGAACACTGTTTGGTTTGAAAAAGAAAAGAGCCCAAAGCAACACCGCAAAATACACAAGCAATGACCACCACTGTGACTCAGCGACATTACATTTAGTACTTTTATTCATGTGAGAGTGTAAAGGACGTCACACACTACAGGAGAATTTGCCAGATTTTGGCTGCGATTTGCTTCTTCCAGAGTTCAAGGGGCGGGAACCCGACTTTGTGTCTTCGTGTTGCTTTTGAAGCCGCTGCTCCTCGTGTGTGTGGTGTCCGTGTGACTCTGAGCTGCTTTATCAGATCACAACCACCAAACATCAGGAACTCTATGATAACAGCTGAAAAAACACAGAGTCATTGGATAAAAGCAAGATAAAAACTCAGGAAATTATGAAAATAATGATAAGACGTCATTACTCATCTCTCATAAAGTTGTAAATTTAAACTGCAGCATCTCATCCACTTTATCTATAGAATTTGTCCTCTGCAAATTATGATCCAGGTCCACAAAACAGCGCTGTTAATCCAGTTTGAGATGTTCTTTAAAAGTAAAAAGGTGAGAGTAGTTCCTCATGTGTGTTTGTTTACATCCACACAGCGCACGGATCAAGGTGAAGCTGCAGATTAGTGATAGTGACTCAACTTCCTGTGAACTTTATCTCCAACCTTCTGTGCATTAAAAATCATGTATCTGAAGTATTTCACCACATTTTACAAATAATAGTAACACAGTTTTGACTTTTATCTAAACTAGTGCAGAGCTCTGATCTTTTGAAAACTTCAAATCCAGGTGTACACTGTATGATTTTTGGTCCTTTTTGAGTAAATTTTTCACTCGTGTGACTGTTTTTGGGATCGAGACAAGTTTTGGCTAAATTGTGTGTCGTACTTTGTGTGCATGTGATAACAAGAACCGATTAATACCTCATGACCAGCTCCTGATCGGCATTTGTTGGTCACAAGAAGATCAAACCTGTTTGAAATCCAGTCGCCTCTCGTGCGGGTTTCGCTCTGTTGAAGTCGTTCGTACAGTGTGAGAACATGAATCTCTGAGCTGTGAACTTTTAAACCCTGTGATTTGGTCGTACAGTTTGAGCTGGGGCTGAGTAAAATGATCTTAAATCTTATCGCACAGTGTACGCCTGGTGTAAGAGTCTCAAAGCGAGTAGTTTTACTCTCAACAAGGAAACAGCTGACGTGATCGCACTCACAACTTTATATTCTGTTGTTCGCAGACAGATCCCGCTGCAGTCGTAGATTTTAAGTCTCATAAGATTCTACTCTTGTCTGCAATTTGCGCTTTTTGTTGCAGGTTTAAAAATCGTTAAATGCTCTACATACATTGTGATATCATTTTGATATTTCATTCAGCCCCAGCTCAAATTGAAGGTCCAAATCGCAGGGTTTAAAACTTCATGGAACGACTTCAACAGAGCAAAACCCTCACGAGAGGCGACTGGATTTCAAACAGGTTTGATATTCGTGCGACCTATGATTGCCTATCAGGAGCTGGTCTTGAGGTATTAATCTGTTCTCGATCCCAAAAAGTGTGATTTCACTTCGTAGAAACCGTCTGACCTCGCAGTGTTATAATTTCTTTACTCGACAGTAGGCGGGTACTTTTTATCATTCAACCAATTGCTGCTGTTTGTTCGTGATGTATGTGACGGTAACTGCTTTTCCCAAATCCCGTAGGAAAAAGGACAATAACATCTTTCCCCTTGATAAAATTCACCAAACATTGTCTTTGTTCCGGCTTTAAATCCTCGATCTCGGGAATCGTTGCCAACACTGACTCTTCGCTAATTGGCTGGCTAAAAAGTGTTGCAGGAGTGAAAAATCGTCTCAAAAAGGACCAAAAATCGCACAATGGCAATCCTGTATTGTGCAACCTAAAAAGAGTAAAAGTTTTGACTACTCTACAAGTGACAAAATCTTTATATCGACAATGTGAAATAATTTGAATCTTTGTGTTTATTGTATCGCTTAGTTTTCATAATCTTTGTGTATCTTTTTGAGGATTCGTTAAAGAGGCATTGTGTAACTTTTAATTGACAGCAGTCTTTGTTTGGCACGAGCAGGAAGGGTTGTGTATATTGCTCCTTGCTCCTGATTGGCCCGATTGCTCTGACACAATAAGACACCAGAATACAGTAAATGGTAGATGGTAAAATGTGGTGGTTTTGTGTTTTGTGTTTTGTGTTGTAGTTGGAACAAGACCAAGAACCCTGAGCCCTGGAACAAGCTGGATCCCACGTATCAGTACAAGGTAAAAAAAATAATGATAAATATAAGGACGGACATGAGAGCAAAAGGCAAAAAGAGCCACTGGAATGTATACTTCCTGAAACAGAATACATCTTGGTTTAAAGGGTTCACATTCCACTATTTTCTGATTTGTGTTATGTTTCCTCATCAAAAACAAACCTGGAGTTGTGTTTTTTGTTTCATTCACACACGTTTTAACATACAAACCCTGCATATTTAGGCTTTTAGGAGTTTATCTCTCAAACTAAAACACTCCACCTTGTGTTGTCATGTCGTCAAACATGAAATACTCCACTGTGTTTTAAACTCCATGTACCTTCACTAAAATCATTTGGATAATTTCCGCTGTCTCTACTGAACTAAAGATAAAATCACAAGGTGGAACAGAGCATTTTAAGTTTTGGAAATATAGACTAATAATGCAGGGTTAGTCAAACATGTGAATGAAACAAAACACAACTCCAGGTCTGTTTTTGAGGAGGTAATAAATTATATCATGACTTAAAGCTCATAAGAGTCCATTTTGTGTAATATATGACCTTTAACCTTTTGGCTTTTAACAGTGAGTGAGTTGTGTGGTCCTCTGTGTCTTTTATTTATTTTATTTGTTTTTTAAAAATTACTTACTAGGGGTGTAATAGTACATGTATCGTGCCAAATTTCGGTATGGGATGTTCGGTTCGGTGCAGGGCTGTACACGAGTGAATTCCTGCGTGTGTGTATGTTTACATTCGACCAGTACATGTGCAGTTACACGGAGGCTCGGCTCTTTAATATTCACAAGGAAACTTGTCCGTGATTGGGACAGTGTTTCCCTCAGCGCTTTATAGTTAGGGCAGCTGTCATGACAACAATTGCCCCCTGCCTTAACTACGTCCCTCTGAACCACGTGAATCCTTGCAAAACTATGGTTGTCGTGCCCCGGTCCTCACTCTCGCCTTTCACCAGGACATGGAGAAAAATCCCGCACACCGTCTTACTTGCAAATTGTGAGATTTATTAGGACAAACCGTGCAACGTTTCGGCACTAGGGCTTCGTCAGGCAAACAGAATGAGAGCTCAGGTGGTCATCTTAAATAGGGTGTGGCAAACACCCAAGGGTGACAGGTCATAAAAAAACAGTGTACCAAACCCCCCCCCCATAAGTTGGTTTCTCTGGCCAAAAATATGAAGATTGAGTTCAAGTTCATGCTGGAACTGTTAGTGCTGCACTTTACTTTTTGAGAAGTTTTCTTTACTGTTTACAAGGAATTCATTTTTTAAATAATATTTCATACATTTCTTGCTTATTTGAGAATATTTTATTTAACTTATTAGTTTTACCAAGCAGCACTTTGCATTTATTTTATTTTCTTGTTTGTATAATGTTGAAACAAATTGTTGGTTAAATAAAAACACAAATAAACATCAAGCAAATGGTTTTGCATTTTGTTCCCAAACTGTACCGAAAATGAACTGAAGCGTGACCTCCAAACCAGGGTATGTACCGAACCGTGATTTTGTGAACCATTACACCTCTAATATTTACTGCTATTTTATTATTTTTATGGTTTTGCTTTTATTTGCTTTTACTGGTTTTATTGTTTTAGGACTGGTATGACCAAATTTTAGCAGTTTACCTTTTTGTTGTCATCATTTTATGGTCTCTGTGCAGCACTTTGGAATCTGCCTTGTTTGTAAAATGTGCTATATATACATAAAGTGGAAAGTGGAAGTAGATTAACTGTGTCCTGTCCTCACTGAGTCTGATTTTTGTCCACAGTTCATGGCGATTACCACCGACTACAAGAACCTGAAGAAGGAGGGACCTGACTTCTGAACACGTCCCCAGCACTGCAGACGTCCTCAGAGACATGTCCTTCACCTGTTCATCACTGTGGGGCCTGTCTCTGACCCGTCCACTGTGTCCACATCACAGACTGTATCAAGAAGTGGATGTCACAGGATTCGGCTCCAGTCAAATGAAGCTCACTAAGGCTGGCAGTTATAGGAGCGGATTTAGAGCCGAGTTCCATATCAGAAATAGGAATTGATTTATGGACAAAATAGCAAAATAAAAACACCAGGATCATGTAGTTCAGGTTAATATGAACATTTTAAAACTGAAATGACAAGGCTCACAGCAGCAGTTACAGAGAGAGGGGTGACAATTTTTCAATAAAAAGTCAATTGGAGCCGGAAATGGGTTCGTGTACCATTTGTTCTTTTGAATTTCAATTAAGAACGAAAAACAATACAATGGGAAAACTGTTTGTTATTTCATTTTTTCAGTTTTAGTGTCAAACCTCTATTTCCAATATTTTATTTAAAGTTTATTTCCAATAACACCGATCAAAAAACAGTCTTAGTGCTGGACTTTTGTGCCGTATACAGACTGAACCAGGACTAAAACAGGTCTAAACCAGCTCTAAACCAGAATTGAACCAGGACTAAACCAAGTCTGAGTCCCAGTCTAGTCCCGTTCTCAGTCCTGGTTTTAGTCCTGGTCCTGATTTCTACTCCTGTTTTCAGTCCTGGTTTCCTCGCAGTTTAAGTCATGTAAACGGGAAACGACCCTTAAACTTTTTTTCCATTATTCATTTAAACACAAAATTGAAAAATGAAAAAACAGAACCATTATCTGTTTTTTCATTTTGGTTTTGGAGACAAATAACTGTTGTTTTTTCATTTTCTTATTTTTGGTTTTATATTGAAAAAACGAATGAATGAATGATACATAGCAACGCATTTACTTTCACGTCTTAGAAAGTAATTATTAGAAAGTAATAATCTCCGAGACGAGAAACAGGAAGCAGCAATAAACTCTCCTTTGTTCAGCGGACACTGAATTCACACGCGGCGTGCTAAACCGGGGCAAATAAACCAGAGAGAATAAAATGTCAGAATTAAAACAGGCACAGAGACTGTTTTTTGATTGGTGTTACTGGAAATACACTTTTTTGTTTGACACTAAAACGGAATAATAAAATAAACAGTTTTCCCATTTTATTGTTTTTCGTTCCTAATTGAAATTCAAAAGAATGAATGGTATAACGAATGTTGCCCCCCATACTCACTTCTTTTTGGAACGTGGCCACTTTCAGGTTATCTATGTCCATTTATTTTTACAGTCTATGTGTGGGACCTGTCTCTGACCTGTCCACTGTGGGACATGTCTCTAACTCTGAGCTTGACCTCGGCTCAGATCTGGACACGTGTTCCTGGACTCTGTGGTTGTCCTCTACTCATTAAAAGGCAGGTCAAATACGAAACCTGACAGCAAAGTTTAATGTATCACTCACTGACCATAAAACCCCCCAGCCCCGTCCTGCAGGAAACACGAGTGAGAGATTTATACACAAAAACATGTCTGGCAGTGTAATAAGTTAAAACTGCCACACACGACAGGAGAATTTACCTGATTTTGGCTGTGATTTGCCTCTCCCAGATTTCAGGGAGGCGTGATCCAACTTTGTGTCTTCTTCTCTTCTCTGTCAGATCAGAACCACCAAACATCAGCAACTCTATGATAACAGACAATAAAACAGAGGAGTGATGGACACAGAAGCACAAGATACAAATTCAGGATAGAGCGAAAATAATGAGAAGAATTTATTACTCACCTCTCGTAAAGTAAGTAAGTCTATAATTATATAGCGCTTTCACAGACATTTTCTGTCCCCAAAGACACTTTACACAGCATTATTTATTCACTCTATACCTGGTGATGGTAAACTACTATTGTAGCCACAGCTGCCCTGGGGCACACTGACAGAAGCGCGGCTGCCATGCCACTCGGCGCCATCAGTCTCTCCGACCACCACCATCACTCACACACACCACTTTCATACTAGGCAATGTGGGCGAAGTGTCTTGCCTAAGGACACAATGATTGAATTGATTGTATTTAACTGACCTTGACTAGCAACTGTTTATGGAGACCTGTAGCATGTTTTGGGTTGATGGGGGAAACCGGAGCGCCCAGAGGAAACCCATCCAGACACGGGGAGAAACATGCAAACTCCACACAGAAAGGCCCAGGCGACCTGGGGATTGAACCCAGAACCTTCTTGCTGTGAGGCATGAGTGCTAGCCACTCAGCCACCGTGCAGCCAAAGTGATAAATTTAACCCCTTAATGCCTGAATTTATAGAGATGTATATAAAAAAAAGTTTTCTGTGTATTTTTGCCTTTAAGTAAATGATAAATTAAATTGAGATTATTAATCTGACTATTGCAAACAATTAAACCAGTTTGAGTCGTTCTTTAAAAGTAAAAAGGTGGGAGTAGTTCCTCATGCGTGTCTGTTTACATCCACACAGCGCACGGATCGAGGTGAAGCTGCAGATTATCGATACTGACTCAACTTCCTGTGGACTTTATCTCCTCTTTTATGCTTTAAAAAACATATATCTGAAGTTTTTCATCACATTTCACACATAACAACACAGTTTTGACTTGTGTCTAAACTAGAAGTATAGAGCTCTTATCTTTTGAACACTTAAGAGTCTTTTACTGTAGACAGGAAACAGCTGACATAATCGCGTTCACAACTTTATATCCTGTGGTCCGCAGTCATATCCCGCTGCAGTTTCTGCGATTGCAGATTTTAAATCTCATAGATTCTCCTCGTGTCTGTGGTGTACACTTTTTGTCGCACTTTTATAAATCATTTAAGACTAAAAAATCCTGTAGCGTGTGGTGGCCTTTAGTCTTCATTATTATGACTGTACTGCAACATTTGAAATAGAATCAGCATAATTTCAAAGGGTAAACACACTCCCACTCTGACTTTGAACCATTTTAAACAGATCTGAGAGTAAAAGAGCCAGACTTTTTCACACCATGAGACTCTGAAACTTTTTGGACTAAAACACAAATTATGTCACTTAAGCCTCTGTGTGTATCATATGAGTATTTGTAATATTTGCTCTCATACACTGACTGAGTTGTACATGTTGTTCTTGTGTCATATTGATACTTTGCAGCTGATCAACATTCCCCGAGGGTGTGATACTAACTGTAGGCACTGCTCTGTCTGAAGTTTAATTAATCTGAGCTTTACTTTAACACAATCTGACCATAAAGAGCTGACTTGGAAATCAAATGCCTAAATAGAATCATGAATGCTCGTAATGATCACAGGCTCTTGAAAGTCTGCCGTTTCAATCCATTTTGTATTTTTTTCGTGCATGCATTGTGTCACCATGGTAACTGATGAACATTCCACCACACACATACATGTAGAACACCCCCAGAGGGAACTCACTGCAAAGTCTCAATTGGAAGAAATGTAATTATGTGGTAGAAATAGGTCTGAAGATAATGAAATCTTAAATAAATTATAACTTTGTGGAACATTGTCTCGTATATTTGTATATTTTCATACATTTTCATACATTTTCACACTAACACACACGCGTCGCTTCTGTGTGTGTGTGTGTTTGGGGCTGACAGACAGGTGCCATTGTTTTGGAACGGATCCATCTGTCCACGCTGCACCTGTCACACCTGTCACACCTGTCACTCCTGTCACTCCTGTCACTCCTGTCCATAAAAGACTGAGAGAAAGTGAGGAGAAAAGGAGGTCAGAGGAGAGAAAGAGGGAGAGAGGAGAGAGAGATGAGACATTTCGATCATTTACTTGAAAACACCGCTGCTCTCAACTAACGCCTATAAATGCACTCCCTATCCCTTCTGATATCGCAGCAGCAGAACCACGAACCACCAGCCTCTCCGTCTCCTCTTCTTCACCACCATCAACAACCTACTGTCTGAAAATAAACCTTTTTCACAACAGCCGGAAGTGCGTTGCTTTAGGTTTGAGGAACTTCTGGCTAATGGTTTTCTGTGGCAAAATGTCTGTGGAAATGTCTCGCCTACTCGAAAATTAGAATGTGATTCTGTTACTTAACTAAAAGTACAGATGCCAGGGCAAAAAAAAAAAAAAGTAAAAGTATCACATGAGAAAGTATAAAAGTACCCATTTAAAAAAGTACTTAAGGAGTAAAAAGTAAAAGTATCTAATAAAACTTCAAATGTCGATGTGTTGATTAAGACTGTAGGGTTGGGCAGCATCCAAATTTTTATACTGTTAAACCTTCTCAGTATCTTACCGAGGTGTACTGTATTACCATATTAATACGGGCGGCAGTAGCTCAGTTGGTAGAGCATTTGCCCACTGATCTGCAGGTTGGCGGTTTGAATCCAGCTCTTGACATAAACATCACAGGTTGAGCGGTCAGATCCACTGACCCACAGGTTGGCTGGTGTGATTCCAGCTCCCACAGATGAATGCTGTCGTTGTGTCCTTGGGCAAGATACTTAACCCACCTTGCCCACAGTGTCTGTGTACACTGGTGTGTGAATGTGTGTGTGAATGGGTGAGTGGTTCCTTGTTGTAAAGTGCCTTGAAGGTGGAAAAGCGCTATAGAAAAATGTGACCATTACCATTATCAAAATGTTTTAGTAACATTGGTAAGATATGAAGCTGCAATGCTGTAAGGTCTGTGCGTACGACCTGCAGACTTATAATTTTTCAGATGAACCATCTCCAACACGACAGAAACACAGAACAGACTCACCATCAGCAGAACATCCCTCTGTCACAAAAAGAACACTCATATTCCACTGAGTCATGTCCTTTAGTCCGACAGAAGCTGAACCGCATCAGCGCACAATAGTATCAGCGCTTTATAGTTTACACAAATGAGCCATGTGGTTTTAAGTTTGTTTCTGTAAAATGTAAACAAATGTGCCTGAAGCCAAAATGCTGCCAAATTGTAGAAGCACTAGTTTTTGTTTTTTTCAACTCACTTGCGGCCGGACTTGTCGTCTTGTCTTGGTCTCTTATGAGCGTCACGTGACAACGGAACAAAACTAATCAAACGTCATCCCCCCACGCAGTTAAAAGAAACATTATAGACACTATTAGTTTTAAATCGTGATGCACTAAACTGAAAATACAACCACACATTCATTTGTGCTGAGCAAACTAATTTAGGTATCAATAAATGATATTACTATATTAGGTCCTTATGTGCTGCAGATTTTTTTAATGACTGTAATGATACTGATACTGTTGCTACTTTCTGATGCAGCAGGATACTGTAATACTGTATTACCGCCCAACCCTAACAGATTATAGCGGAATTTTGTTCTGCAGAAACAACTGAATCATTTTTTTTCCCTATAGCTGTTTTTATTTGTATATTTTTATTTGCTCAAACTTTTCAGCAGGTCTCAAACAATGATAATAAAAAAACACTTTCAACTTTCCAGTCCTGTTCAAAAATGTGGTGGAGTAGAAAGTACAGATACCTGCTCTTAAATGTAGTAAAGTAAAAGTAAACAAATAAAAAAGTACAGATACCTAAATTGTTTACTTAAGTACAGCACTTTACTACTTTTACTTCCACTGTTACCTTCCACCTCTGAATTCTAGCCACTCACCCATATTGAATAATTTGATTTAAAAGTGCACTGTGTACCCTTTCTGATGGA